CCCCAAAACCCCAAAACCCCAAAACCCCAAAACCCCAAAACCCCAATTTTTATTTCAATGTTGAAGCCTTCCATTGGAGTTAAGGTTAGAAATTACTCCCCATTTTTGTATTGACAAAGACTTTCATCAGTAAGCATCCCGCTTTTAATTTTGGGCAGAAACATCTTGTACCCACTCTTTCCCTTTGATTTCTTTATGAACTTCTCCGGCTTAGATCTAGAGATCAGGAAGGCAAGCTTACTGTGTAGTTTTTCAATTGTAATTCCTTGAATTTGCTTTCTTCTATACGAAATTAGCCCTCAAAGAGTTTCAAAGGCAACTTACTCTAAGCTGGAGGCTGTTTAGCAACAGGATATTATCTTTAGTTCTAGATTGCTCGAGTTTCAGGAGATCTTGCTTCTTGTCTCTCTGAGATTTTAAGAATTTTAACTTCTCTTTATCAATATTATACTTCTGTCGAGCCCCACCAGGTATCCTAGGAAAGGAAATGTCAGAATCAGGTCTATGTTTCCTCTTAGTCTGCTCATGGACCTCTGTAGTATTATGCTTCGAGGTCGTATTGCTCTCATTCAAGATTACTCTGCTCTTATTCCGGTGTGCCTTTCCTTTCCTATTCAGGATCTTCTTCAAGCTTTGAAGTTTATGAGACTGCTCTAAAATATTTCCTTTATTAATAGATGTCTTAATTTTACTAACGACTTCATCAACAGTCGTTTGGATGTTAGTTGGCTTTTTCCGTAACCGAGAGTAATTGTTATTTTATCAGTGGTGTAGACACTCCTGTGGTAGCCTAAAAGATAATAAACTTAGCTTACAACCGATCCCGTTTTTGAATCATTCCGTTTTCTGCTGATCCTTTGGTAAGGTGACTCATACAAATGTGCCTCGGCATCCTTCCCAAGACATCGGTTAGTGGGGCTTTTGTTGTTCTTAGATTTCCTGACCAAATACGACGGAGGATCATTCGTTGACCTGTTCATCTTTTCTTTTGACTTCATAAAATTGACTACATCATTCGTAAAATTTTAATACTTATAGGTGATTTAGATCGAGACTTCAGTTTTCCTGATTTTCTGTTGTCCAGATATTCCAAATTTCCATACTGAGGGTCTGGCATCTGGCTGTTTTGGAGATTTCCGATATCCTTGAACATGATTGTCTTTAGTAGCTCTCCCACAGAGCTTTCATCGGACTCTTCCATTCCATACTTTTTGATCTAGATATAAAAATTATGAGGTTACCTTGTCTCTGATTAAATATGAAGATAGCAGTTTATCACAGGATGGCCTCATCTCCGGATTTACTTTGAGAAGTACTTTTATAATTCCAGATAACTCATTGGAATAGCACTTTGGAATCCTGGAATAGGAGCCCTTAGCAATTTTCTTATACAGTTCTTCGAAGTTTTTAGCCCGAAAGGGTGGTTTTAAGGTGCACATCTCATATATCACACAACCAAGGGACCAGATGTCACTCTTGCTACCATAAACCTGATCATTCCAGACTTCGGGAGAGGCATAATACGGGGTTCCTGTTTGAGTATGATTCAGGACCATAGTATTCGTAGTTTTGGAAACATTCATGTCTCCCAATTTAGCAATCCCGTCAGTTGTTAAAAACACGTTTGCACTTTTAAGATCCCGATGCATAATTTTCAAGTCATGTAATTGCTTGAGCCCTCTAAGTACATGAATAAGAACTCTCCAGATTTGCTCTTCTTCAAAGTACTCGTTCTGCTTGACTTTCTCTTTAATCTTCTGATAAAGATCAGCTCCGTCAGCGTATTCCAGGACGAGGCACAAGAACTCTTGCTTGTCATCAATGAATGCTTCCTTAAAAGCGATAACATTGGTATGTTTGATAGAGGCCAGAATCCTGACCTCATTTAGTGCATTCTGTTGCTCCTTACTCGCAAGATTGGAAATGCTCACCTTCTTCAGGGCATATACCTTGTTGTCCTGCTTCCTAGTGACCTTGTAGACTTCACTGTAAGATCCTTTCCCTATAACCTAGTATGAAGAGAATTTTAAGAGATAAGCGAGATTTGAAGCAGAATAGAAGGAATTCTTGGATTTTTAAGTGGGCTTTTACCTAAGGGTTCAAAATTGTCAAAATTTTCCATATTTTATTGTTATACAATAGAGTTCGCTTATTTGGGGTTTTGGGGTTTTGGGGTTTTGGGG